GCCAATTATTTCATTTGGAAATTGGGATTTAATGCTATTTAGAAACCCGGCCGGGCGGAAATTAATATAATTAACTGCTTGACATGTTGGGCAGACTGGACATTCGCCCTTGTTAACTTGTGCAGTTCAGGAAAATAGACTGCCTCGCGTACGCGTTGGATAGTTTTTCGAATACCAGCATGAGAAGCTAATGGGCTGTCGTGTAACTCCTGCAGGATATTTAATCTAAGACTAGCTGGGATAACAAGTCGAAATTCGTTGTTGGAATTTGTAGTTTTTGTATAAAATAATAGACCATCTATTAGTTCGTAATAGGCCGCCGTATTTCTTATCGCCACAATATCTTGGTGGCTAAAATTTTCAGGATGCTTTAAATAGTCATAAATGTTTCTAAACTCAGGATCCTTACCCAGTTCGGTTATTACAGTTTCTCGGGAATTTATTGCACATGCTGTGAGCATTGCCACCTTTACAGTATTACCTTGTTCATCTATTTTAATTCTTGATAGGGCATCTGCTACGAAATTTTCCTTTCCGGGGGTGTGCTTGATTACCAGATTATACTCTTGTAACTTGAGTGCCCATCTTATTAACCTTGGGGATATGTTTTTCCCTTAATACAATCAAGTTACCGTCGCATGATCAGAATACACTGTTATTGGCGCCCTTCCAAAATAGACTCGGAACTTTTGCACTGCTAACAGAACTGCAAGTGCCTCTCTCTCGGTCGCGGAATAATTTCTTTGTGTTTGATTTAAAGTTCGACTAAAAAATGCCACGGGCTACTGATTTTGGGAAAGTACCACTCCTACCGCATAATCCGAAGCATCCGCTGAAATTTCTAAATTTTCATCCTTTTCAGGAAATTTCAAAACCGGGGCTTGCGTTAATGCTTGCTTTAATTTTTCGAAAGCACCATTGGCTTCGGCCGTCCACGAGAATCTTGCCTTTTTCCTTTTTAATTTTAACAATGTTTCGGCAATAGCTGCAAAATCTTTTATAAAGGACCTATAATGTGAACAAAGTCCTAGAAAAGAAGAGAGCTTCTTCGCCGTATTTGGCGGCGGATACTTTTGCACCGCGATTATTTTTGATTCGTCTGTCTCGATTCCTTTCTGAGATATTTTGTAACCTAAGTATTTTAATTCAGGGGCTGCAAATTTGCACTTTTCGACATTAACTTTTAGACCGGCCTCATTTAATAATGAAAACACCTGTCTTAAATCCTGTACATGTTGGTCCAGATTATCACTAGTAATAATGATATCGTCTAAATAGATAAATGTGGACCTTCCAAGCACAGGCCTTAGCACAATGTCCATACATCGCTGAAATGTTGCCGGTGCCCCTGAAAGGCCAAACGGCATACGCAGGAATGCATAAGTGCCAGACTTGGTTATAAAAGCAGTCTTAGACACGTCTTCCGGTCTAACCCCTATTTGAAAATAACCAGTCGTTAAGTCTAAAGTCGTCATGTATTTGGTAGACGTTGTGTTCCTTAGAATTTCTTCAATAATAGGTAACGGATATACCGGATATTTAGTCATGGAGTTTAATTTATGATAGTCAATCGCAAAACGCCACCTTTTTGGATGTGTTTCTGGATAGTCATTGTTTTCCTTACATAAAACCACCGGGCTAGCATAACTACTTGAGATGGGCGTTATGATCTTTTTACGTAGCATATCGCTGATGTGCCATTCTATAATTTTTTCCTTATTCTTATCATACCGGTATGCTTTGTGGCGAACTGGCATTGAATCTCCGGTGTCAATACTATGGTTAGTAACTTGAGTAAATCCTGGAATATCACTAAATAACGAAGCAAATTCACTTACCACTTGTCGGATTCTTCGTTGCTCTTCATTAGGCAGGTGGTCAAGGTTTAACATCGGTTCAGTCTTTTCTTCTCGAACTGGTTTCATCGTCAGCTTAAGGGACGCTTCATTAAAATCCAGCGTTGCTTGTGCCTCTCAAAGAAAATCTATTCCTAAGATAATATGTGCTTGCAGATTCTTTACTATGAAGAACATAACCTTTACTTGTTCGTCCTCGATACGGACGTATAGCGGTAATTTACCTATGCACTTACATCTTTCTCCTTGCGCAGTTAACACTGTCGTATTATCCGAATTATATATGCGATATTTACGAAAATACTTCCTAAAAAAATCTTCTGCCACACAGGAACACTGCGCGCCTGTATCCAGGAGTGCGGTGGCTGGGATATTATTCACCAACACTTCAGTCTTCGGAAGAGTCAAATTTTTCACCATTACTGTATTTAACTTGAAGGAAGAGGGGTTTGCTTGGCCTTCGGATTTCCGCAACCTCCCGTCAGCAGAAATCCGTTTTAGTTTAAATCATTTTTCATTTCCATGCTTTCCTTTTTTTTCCACTGGCCTTGAGACTTTTTTCCTGGATTGCTATTGAACTGTCGACGTTCGCCGGCTGTTTTTGAATGCTCGGGTTTCCGTGCCCACTGATTCGCTTTGCTTCCGTAGCCGTGTGCTTGACTTTGCTGTGGTCTTGGCGCACCAAATTGTTTTCGTTGTTGATATTGGCGTCTTCTTTCAATGTCCGCCGTTCTTCTAATTTCAAACTGGATTGCTAGCTCAAATAACTTTTCCAGTGTAGTCGGATTCCTTAATTCAATAAAGTCTTGCACTTGGGGAAGTAACCTCGGCAAAATCACTTGAATTATCTCAGGATCCGGACGGTTTCCATACAAAAGTTTGAAGACGTGAATTTTTCTTAAAATAAAGCTTGAGAGATTTTCGATTCTTTGCTGATATATGCTGAAAAGTTCCGTTTCTAATTTCGCACGATCCCTTACGACAGGGAAGGCTTTTACTAGGGCAGTCTTGAAATTTTCGTAAGTATAGGTAGGACTTCCTGCTTGACCCAAGAGACTTCTGCCTATACATTTGAACCAGTTAAGCGCTTGGCCCCTCAAAGCGCTGGTAGCTAATGTAACTTTTTGAAACTCGTGCACGGGGTAGAGCATGAAGTGGTCATCCAATTTTTCCAAAAAACTGGTTACCGGTGAGTTTCCATTAAATGTTGCTTCTGGTTTCATCGAAGCGCGCATGGCCTGGGCAATGTAACCAAATCCTTCCATGGCGGCAGCTGGCATTTCTGGATTCTGAGCCGCTTCTGCAGGCAGCACAGGTTCTTCTTGAAACTCGGCCATGGTTATTCTTCTACGTTGGGCGCCACTATCAGGTTCAATGTTCCGTCTTACTTTCTTTGGGAACATGCACAGACCTGACTCGGAACAGGGAGCTTAATAAAGCTATGTTCAATAAATGTGGGAAGTAGACAAGATACACAGAAAGGGTATACGAAACCCTTTATTTTTCACTCTTTACAATAATTTCCGTACTTCGGAATACAGAGACCAACTACTTGTGGTCTGAACGTAAGAATATAAAAATATTTAACTAAACTCTAACTTGACTTTGGAATAATAAACGTGGAAGATTGGCCGTATATTAACAGGAAGCCGTATGTAGTACAGAGAACTGTTAACACTACAATACGTTTAAAATTATCAAGAGGATTAAACCTCTGGCCTGGAAGGCAACCAGCAACCGAGTAAAACTGCTTAGGCAAGCGGCCTGCTTCGACTAACTCCTTCCTCTCTCTCGCTTGGCAAAAAGCCACAACTTAAGTACTTGGCGTTCGCCAGACAAATTTTGCATAAATAAGTTAACGCTTTTAATTCTGGCCGGAAGTAGAAAATAAGAAGTGATAGTAGAGATTTAGAATAAAATAAACGTTAGTAAAACTTAAGATCCTTACAACATAGCAGAAGATACTGCTACCACATATCTGAATGCAGCCTTCAGAGAAGATAACCCAGATAATGACACGCCACAACAAAGACTAACAAGAGACTGTCAATACGTCGCAGATACCCCGGATAATATCGCTTTCGAAACGGAGGAGATTAAGCAAGTCTTCAAATATCTTTCGCTCAAGGAAGCGCCAGGCACTGACGGACTGGACTATGCAATCATCAGGGTCGCATACACTGCCTGCCCAACATACTTCAAGGCCTTCTTTAATAAATTGCTAAGACAGCAGATATTTCCGTCGGCCTTCAAAAAGGGCCAAGTCGTATTCTTTCTTAAAAAGAATAAATCACCAGAAAACCCCAGCTCCTACAGACCGATATGTTTTTCCTTAGCAATAACCAATATGGGTTCAGAACTGGCCTCTCTACAGTACACGCCCTAGATAAGATCAGAAGCCACATTAACGATAGTAGAGCCAATAACCGGCACACGGCATTTATATCACTAGATCTTCAGAGTGCCTTTGACTCTCTCTGGTGGCCTGCAATCAAGCAGGCCCTCAGGGAGGCAAATTGCCCTAGGAATTTATATAACATCTTCAACGATTATCTGGACTCAAGAAGTCTCATAATCGCAAACAATAGTGGTGTCTATACAAAGAAGCAGGAGAGGGGCTGCCCACAAGGCTCTTGCGCGGGGCCCCTGCTTTGGATAATTACGTTCAATGCGCTACTGCAACTCAATTGGCCTGATCACACCAAAGTAGTGGCACATGCCGATGATGCGGCACTGCCAGTTACTGGGCGTACTCGAGACGAACTGGAGAGGAACGGCTCCGCCACTTGCTCCAAATTCTATGACATGTGCCAAAAGCTGAAACTCGTTATCTCAGCCCAGAAATGTACGGCCATGGTCATACCGCGTCCAGGTACAAACCCCACGAGACGACCTTGTATTAAGCTAAAGGGCAGAAACTTGAAAATCACCAAAACGTTGAAATACCTTGGAGTCACGTGGAACCAAGGCTTGACCTGGCTACTACATCTACAAGAAGTCAAAGTCAGAACAGCCAACATTGCAAAGAAAGCCAGGCAGTTTCGGGGACAAAACTGAGGGCAGAACCCTTACATTCAAAAACTGCTCTACTTGACGGTTGCAGAAAGGATTGTACTCTATGCCTCAACTATTTGGGCACTACCAATGGGCAGCCGTAAAATAAAAGCCCTGTCAACAATACAAAGACCTTTTGCTCTCAACATTAGCAAGGCATATAGAACAACCCCGACAAATGCAGCACTTGTGCTTACCGGGCTCACACCCATTCACATCAGGGCCAAGTTAGAAGCAATATATGAGCGGGTAATAAGATTAAAGGAGAATGCTGCACTCGATACCACAGTCTTCAGCACGCTGCAGTACGAAACACCAGGCAGCACACAGCACGTGCACCCAGCACATAAAAACTCGGGCATACACGTCAAAATAGCAAGGAGATCTACGCCGCGAATAGAGGATGTACCAGTCGCCTTGCAATTCTACACAGATGGCTCCAAACATGATAACGGAGTGGGTTGTGCTTATGCTTGTTATGAGCATGGTACACTTCACAGTCAATGGAAAGGTCATCTTGCAGCTCACAATAGTATCTTCCAGGCGGAGGCCATAGCAATTGAAGCGGCAATACAGTACGCACATGACATACAACTTGCACGAACAGAAATATGCACAGACAGTATATCAGTGCTGCAGGCATTAAAGAATCATCATCACACATCTCCCATAATCCTGCAAATCCAACAGACATTGCATAGCAACCAGCAATCTAACATCAAGCTAAAATGGGTAAGAGGTCACTCTGGGATCGCAGGCAATGAGATGGCAGATCAACTGGCCAATGAGGCAGCAACCAACAATAATGCACAGGCTGTCTCAGCACTAATCCCGCCGTCATTTTTAAAAAGACAACTAAGAGACATAGGGAATAAACAATGGCAACACGAATGGGAGAATGGAGATACCGGCAGAAGGACTTTCGAATTCTACCCTGTAGTAGATAAAGAACGCTTACAGGCCATATACCCTTTGGTAAACTATATCACGGGGCATGGTCCTTTTCCCACCTTCTTTTATAAGCGTGCTATCTCCATGACATATCTCCGCACACACATGAGCGTGTGTGTGCGGGGAAATCGGCTCCCCCGACCACTACGTGTTCAACTGTAGCCTCACGACGAGCCATCACCTACCATATCCCACTACGAATATAGTACCTTACAAGAGGTTCATCATCAAACACGCACCTGCGATAAGAAATATATGTAAAATTTACAGCAGCTGAGCGCCCTAGGGCAGGATGTCTGCCAACCAACATAGGAATAATAGCATACACAGCGCAAGAATTCTATGTCTCTATTGTAACTTAGCAGGTGTTATGTCTAAAATTGTACATATGTAATTATATAAGTAAAAGTGTAATGTAAGTAATGTAAGTAATAGTGTAAGGTAAGTAATTTAATTAATGAGTGTAATACGTCGTACTATGTGTAATTTAACATAACGTAATCGGTAATGTAGTCAGTAGCGCGTGTAACGCGTGCCACATGTGTATTATTTTAAGTAACGCATATATGATTATAAGGCAAAGTATGTGTGCCTATCTTGTTATATAGCATAATGTCATTTAAGAAGTAATAGCAATAATGTAAACTATAAGTAATCCAGTTATAAAATAACTTAGCAAGTTCGCAATACAATTAGCTTAACGTAGTATACCGTCAGGTTATAACTCTAATAAGTGTAGATTAATGTCATGCATTATGTATGTGTAGTCTAATGTCATGGGAAGTGTAAAGTATGTATGTACTAATTCATGCAAGTATTATGTATAAGTTTAATGTCATGTCATATATAATGTATGTAATGTCATGTTTCATGTATGCATTATGTCCTATGAACACCCAGGTCAACCATTAACATACGAATCTGTACAGAACCAATGTCAAACTGGAATAGCCCCTGTATGGCCATGTAAACGTTTTCATGAAGGCTCAGTAACTCCCGGTGCGCCCTTGTGGGACCCCAGGGAGTTCTTGTATCTATATAGGGGAGGGCGTGGGACATATGCCTGTTTACCTCCGTTAAACACCAGGCGTCCCCGTCCTCCGTCACCTGTCACCTGTAGTCCTCTATGACGACATAACATATTGTAGTATTTACGTAACTATATACTGTAAATGGTTAACGTGCAGAAAAAAATATTCGAAAAATAAAATTTGAGTCCCGAGTTAACACGAACTCTTGACTTTTCGATCTCTTGAGCTTCTTGTTAACGAGAGTTTATGAATGTTAAAGAGAGTATGCGTATTTTTATATGTTTTACAAAACGCTTACAAAAATGACCAGTCTATTATATGAGCAATTGCTATTTCTTGTGAGGGAGATGTATATTTACTGCGTAAAAGAAAATAAATAACTGTCAGTTTCGATGTGTTTTAGTTCTTCCAAATATTCCAAATGATGTAAACGTCATTCTTGGAATTTTCTTAGTTTGTATAACTATAAATGCGAAATCATTTTTTCACAAGGAACATGTGATAACTTATAAACATCGACATTCTGATAGAATGGCAAAAAACATCACAGAATATGACTCCAAAGGAAACGTTATTGATTTTTTTTTTTACAGAAGAATATGTTGTGTACAATAAAACCCATCTGCTCTCTATTGAATATTTTCTGTTCCTTTTGAGCAACGTGAAAATGAAATTCACCAAAATCAATTTCACTCCGAATATGTGCTTCGAATTTCCCCTTTCAATATTCTTATTTTTCTTACATCTTTCTTTCCGAAAAATAATTTTCACCGCAATATGTTATTTTATTTCGACGTTCCCGCATGTGTTGCGCAAGATGAAAACTGCTATACTTGGCGAGAATTTTGGCGATATATTATTCTAGCAACCCTATAAGAAGTAATATTGAAACAGTGAATGCTTCCGGCCAAAAGATTGATTACATATAGGACCGGTTAGGAAAAATAAATGTCTTTAGAAGCCAGAGGCGGAAATGTGTATCATCTTTTTGTTGGCGATTCGATCCGTAGTATTATAGTGCATCCTGTTTAATAATGAATTCCTTCATTCTCATATCTTAATCCGCAATACGTAGAAGTTAAAAATAATATATTGCCATAATGACTTCTGTAAACGGGATGCCAATCTGTTCACATATAGAATTTCTTTCATATTTTCGTGTTTGAATTTTTTATTGGAAATGAACTTAATCAGAATAAATGTTTGATATCTAATACGCATTTCGCTTCAATAGAATTCTATTCCTGTCTTCCTTTTTCGTTATAAATCTAAATAAAGTTTTATTAGAAATTTGCATCTGAAATTAATTACGCAGAAGAATTTCAAAAGATCTTACTTTCATAAAGCCTTTGAGACTTAATTATATGTATGATTGAAGAAAATATGTCATATACGGTTTCTTTGTATAATGTCTTAAGAACTGGGAAGAGAAAGATAAATATGTTTAAATGAGTTAATTTATTTCCTTTACTAATTAACCATCTTGTTACTGAAATGTATTAAACCTGCATTGAAGTGCAAAAAGAAGAAGATATTACAATTAATTTATCAAATTTAGTCTCGTAATTAAAACAACTGAACAAACTTTGAAAACAGCTCAAAATCATTAACAACTGTTTTGATAGTAGTTTATAACAGTTCATGTTGAAGACTCATATGCTAATTAATTAGCCCTTATACAATATAGAATCTGTAACTAACTCGTTTTCATGTTGGATTGCTAATATGGTTGATTTGTATATATTGCAACTCCACGTATTCACAATTCAAGCAAAGTTCATGTTATTTTAAAATAGCAAAGTAATGATTTTATATAAAATGATTAAGCACTGTGGTCAAATAATTCTTAAAATGAGTAGTTAAAACTGAATATATTCTTAGTTTGGATTTAAATCAATATATGACGAGTTAAAACTTGAAATATATTCTCAGAGTGGTTACAAAATTTAAACACTGTCATGTAGATTAAGGAATGCAGTTTAAAATCTTGACCAGATTAAAATGGCATTTTGGTCATAACTACTAAGGAGATTTTTGGTCTTCTAAAATAATAAAGACGAAAGAACTTTAAAAGTTTATAATCAACTAAAGTATGCTACACAAACAGTAACACGTCACATTCACTGCAGATTGTCTCTTTCGTTTTGCTCAGCATATGTCGATGAATCAACTGCACACAAGTACGAAGTGAATCTTAAGACCTAACGTTCCTTTCTTGGCTTTTGTCTGCCTGAGTTTACTATTGATTTGGGTATTAGAACTAAGGTCATTTGGTGAGCATTTTCTGAATAATGTCCTCTGCTTGTGTATAAGTAGAGCAGAATGCTTGGATACTTCCGCCGTTAATTTTGCCATTATATATGCTAATTCATTGGCTTTAATTTTTGCACCCTCTGGAACTCAGTTATAAGGTATACCGTAACCTCTTTTTCTGAAGTTCCAATTTAAATTAAGCACTTACACATTTAAAGGTATTTCACTGTATGAACATTATTCCAGTGATATTAAAATCTGAAAAGATGCCAAATGGTTTCCTGTCCTGTGGCCATAAGAATAAGAGAGAAAGATAAATAACAACAATTTCGGCGGTCTGATGAAATTTAATAGCTTTTAGTTTATTTTGACAGTTAAACCTGCTCTAGAGTGGTTCCTGGATTTTGTTTCATCAGTACAAAATGGAAGGTAGTTTTTATACCTATGCTTGTGTTCACCAAATGCAGCCGCTATACCACATAATTAGTGCAATCCTCCTAAGAAAGAGTCGAAAATAATTCAAAAGTTGAATGCGTGAATTATGCCAGGGAGAAAATTCTAAGTGCTTTACTAAGTACATTCAAATTATTCAAGCCGTATTCTTGGGGATTAGTTCGAGCATGTAAACCAAATAAAGGGATGCAAATATACTGCACTTTGCAAAGGGTGATATCGGTTTTCAAGCACTGCGAGTCTTAGAGGAAATTCAGGTTATGGCATGATATTTTAAAAATAAGGAAAAGGCAACAATTTTTCTCTCAAATTCTACGATGTCTGCAACATTTTCGGCATACAGATATTGAACTGATAATCTTTTGTAGGTTTCAAAACAATTTCTCTGATTCTGATGATATACAGAATAGAGTTTTGATAATTATGAAACCCTCGCAGGATATAAATAACTCTGCATAATCAATCTTTGATAATACAAAGGCTTTATACATGGTCAGCATCGAACATCTGATAGCTCCCCAGGGCCATATCTGATAAGCCTTTCAACACACCTAAGTCTTTAATACATCTTTTTTATAAGCTTAAAATATTAAATAGAAATTAAAGTTTCTTGTCAAAAGTAATACCTAAATATTTCGCTGTAGAACTGAATGTGATCAGTAAACAGTCTCAGAAAATTTCAAATTCAAGTTCAGGATGCAACCTCTTCTTTCCGCAGTAAAGCATACAAAGAGTCTTTTGTCTTAAGTAATCAACCTTTTTTAGTATCATATTATTAATAATCTTGAGCGCAAATAGCAGCTTTCTTTCAATTAATTCTATATCTACTCGTTGTCAACTTATTTGGAGATTATGTACTTACAGATCTTCAAAGATAGTAGAAGTTCCTTTAAAGCTGAGTTGATTTTCAAGCTAAAATAAATCTCATTTCTCATATATGTGTAAGGGAAATCTTCTTCATTAATAAAAGCATTATACAGCATAAAACCAAGCCTTAAAAACTATAAAAATCAACAATTCAAAATCTTCTCAATTAAAATAAAGATTCCCAGGCAGATTACCATTGTAAAAGTCTTGAAGTATTTCATGTCACTGCAGTTTGTCATATGCCTTTTCCATAAATGCGAAGATGGGAAATAAATGATTTGTCTTCAAGAAAGTGTTTCGTATATCAGTTTCGAGTAACATGGTACTGTTGACAGCAGATTTACCTTTATTAAAATCACTTTGATATAGAGAAAGAAGGCCCTTTTGTTCTAAATAATAAACAAGGCGAACGTTCATAATTTTCTTGAGGACATTACAACGCTAACTGATACGTGCTACTGACCAGTAACTGGGAAGATTCATTGGGTATTTTCGTTGGTTTTAGTGTAGGAATGGTAACATTTTCGCCATTCTAATGGAGCATAAAAGTGCAGATTC